ATAATAATAATAATAATAATAATAATCATCAGTTCACATCACAGATCCACCTTAAGTTAATACAAACATTCCCCTAACATTCCTCCTCTCGCCTCACTTTACCTAATAACTTTTAATTAATAGGAATGTTGAAGAGAATGATACCAATATACTTTTGTGGTGTTGCTCGTACAATTAAGTTAACGGAGGATCATTGTTGAGGTTAATAGTTTGTGTAGTGTTAACGTGAAGGTGTTCCCGTTGACATGAAATGATGTTTATCATTCAATATTTTCCTGGCAACTGGGATATATGATTTGTTTCCGTGTTTGTCTGTTTGTCTGTTTTCCTGTTTGTCTGTCTTCCTATTTATGTCCGTCTGTTTGTCTGTTTTCCTGTTTATGTCCGTCTGTTTGTCTGTTTTCCTGTTTATGTCCCTCTGTTTGTCTGTTTTCCTGTTTATGTCCCTCTGTTTGTCTGTTTTCCTGTTTATGTCCCTCTGTTTGTCTGTTTTCCTGTTTATGTATCTCTGAACTACTGCTGTAAAATGACACCTCATATATTGATCCAGCTCCTATTACTGATACACGAGTTATTGTTTTTGTTATTGTTGATCTTTTGTGGACTACGCGGCCTCCCTAACCTAAACTAAACCTAACCTAACCTAAACCTAACCTAACCTAAACCTAACCTAACCTAAACCTAACCTAACCTAAACCTAATCTAACCAGAATTTTAAGTTAATTATCAGTTGTAGTTGTGGTCGTTCTTAGAATTATTCCACCATTTTCTCTGAATATGTTGTTTAAGTATTTATATGTATACTATTTCTCGTATACATGCTAGGAAAGGTCTGTGTGTTAAGTACTTACATGTATACTATTTCTCGTATACATGCTAGGTAAGGTCTGTGTGTTAAGTACTTACATGTATACTATTTCTCGTATACATGCTAGGTAAGGTCTGTGTGTTAAGTAATTACAAGTATACTATTTCTCGTATACATGCTAGGTAAAGTCTGTGTGTTAAGTACTTACATGTATACTATTTCTCGTATACATGCTAGGTAAGGTCTGTGTGTTAAGTACTTACATGTATACTATTTCTCGTATACATGCTAGGTAAGGTCTGTGTGTTAAGTACTTACATGTATACTATTTCTCGTATACATGCTAGGTTAGGTCTGTATGCTAAGAGTGCTGAAGGTGTTTCCTGATAATCATATTCATCTTACGTAATAAAATGTCATCAGAATGTTTTAAAAAGAAAATGTAAAATTCCTGGAAGCGACCACAGAATAATTCATTAATTTTCACATGCAAATTTAATGTGAGTTATGCAGTCTAGCTCATGCCTCGTAATGTTCGTATTAGTTTAATTATGAGTGTAAGAGTATGAACAGGGACTTTGTATTTACTTCTTAAGTCTTGTGAGATGAAGTACTGAACAACGATAACATATAATTATAATGTTTATGTTTACGAAGGAGATTTATATCAGCCCTCTCTCTCTCTCTCTCTCTCTCTCTCTCTCTCTCTCTCTCTCTCTCTCTCTCTCTCTCTCTCTCTCTCTCTCCCAATTTAAACATTAATCAGCGTGATTTATAAGGTAGTGGAGGTAATAATTAATCACACGTGTTAATGGCAACAATACAAACAATGGCTGGTAATTAATTTTTCTTCCTGGGTTCGTGTAATTAATGACAAGGGCGGAATAGATGGTGCACGACGAACTAGCTGGTAAATGGACTCGCACACAGACGGCAGAACTTGTGGAATAAGGATGATGGTTGTCGCTACAGTAGCTACACGGGGTGGTGGGCATCACTACAGTAGCTACACGGGGTGGTGGGCATCACTACGAAGGCAGCTACACGGGGTGGTGGGCATCACTGCAGGCAGCTTCACACACACGAAGTTAGTGGGCATCACTACAGTAGCTACACGGGAGATTGGTGGGCATCACTACCCAGTATCCTACAAGGGGTGGTGGGCATCACTACAGTAGCTACACGGGGTGGTGGGCATCACTGCAGTAGCTACACGGGGTGGTGGGCATCTCGTGCTTCTACAGGGGTGAGGTGAACTCACTACAGTGGCTACACAGGGTGATGGGCATCACTGGCCAGCTACACAGGGGTGGTGGGCATCACTACAGTAGCTACACGGGGTGGTGGGCATCACTACAGTAGCTACACGGGGTGGTGGGCATCACTACAGTAGCTACACGGGGTGGTGGGCATCACTACAGTAGCTACACGGGGTGGTGGGCATCACTACAGTAGCTACACGGGGTGGTGGTAGTATCTACACGGGGTGGTGGGCATCACTACAGTAGCTACACGGGGTGGTGGGCATCACTACAGTAGCTACACGGGGTGGTGGGCATCACTACAGTAGCTACACGGGGTGGTGGGCATCACTACAGTAGCTACACGGGGTGGTTGGAGCCAGGAGACGACACACTCACTAATATTCTCACACATTCTATTATAAACTGCATCATGAGAGACTTTCCTGTGTCTCCGTCTGGCTGTTGAGTTAACACTGTCTCTCTCCGTCTCTCATTCCTTTGGTCTCTATCTCCCTGGCCTGAATGTTACTCTATCATTGACCTTCAGCAAGACTTCGTAGAGAGATGTGAGCTGTTGTTTATATCTTTGTTCAATTGATATCTTGAAGTTAAAGGTCATAAAGCGAATTTTTTTTCACTGTATTTACTAAGTGTGTGATTTTCATAGTAATTTTTATAACCTAATGGGAGAAATACACAGACAGTAGCGTAGGTAGTGATGCTTTGAGAGGTGAGGTTTAATATTATAGGGAAAAATGTGTTTAGATTGTAAAGTGATATACCCTTTATAAGTACAGGTTATATATGAGATAATACACACTAAATAATGCCAGGTGTTACAACATATGATCTTTTAAACCTTTTTACCAAACCCGTTAATGTCTTACCTGAAATCTCCTCCAGCACACAGATAATATATACAGTATTATACGTCAATAAACCTTAAAGTCACCACACGGCCATTTTTAGGAGCTTTATCTCAACAACAAACTCCCTGAAGCTATTTTTACCACGACAAAATATATATATTTTTTTCAACTATTTTATCGTGACGAACAATCTTTATTATTATTATTATTATTATTATTATTATTATTATTATTATTATTATTACGACAAATTAGTTTTTCGATTAATCCCAAAATAAAGAATCTTACAAACTTACACCTCCACTGGTGTCCTCATTAACTGGGTACACCACTTTACCTGACCGATCAAGTTAATTACCCCTAAAGGAACGTGCATTAAATTCCTCACAGATTCAATTTCGAGGTCGGTAATTACGTTCCTTGGCAACGTATAACAACCTGCAGATAAATATTTCTCTTGGTTTTTATTGGCTGGTCGCTGATGTAACGTGTAGAGGATAATGAGTAATGGCAGCCAGTCTGGGATAAATTGGTAGTATTGATAATGAACAGTAAACCCGCCGGCTGTGTGTGTGTGTGTGTGTGTGTGTGTGTGCGTGTGTGTGTGTGCGTGTGTGTGTGTGTGTGTGTGTGTGTGTTAAGTGGTGAATGTTAAGTGGTACACGGAAAAAATAAAAATATTCAGTCAGGAAAAAAAAAAGAGTTCAACTGAATTTTAGAATTTGATCTTAAATTAGAGGTCGTATCATAAAGCTGCTTAATGACCTCTGACCTATGGCTGCGACTTTTGGCCTTTGACGCCAAGAAATACTCTAGTTTTCAGAGAGTTCCAGGGTTAAAATACAATAATGGCTGACAGACAAACAAACGGATATAACCCAGTGATCAACATACTTGGTCCATTTCCCCAGGTATAATAATCAAGTGAAGTTCATTAGCCAATAAATATCATCCCAAAATTACGTAGATGTAACTATTATGAAACAAATGTCTGTTCATCATTTTTATTACCACACTGCATAAAACAACAGGAAGTATCGTCATTAATTATACTCTGGGGAAAAACATTTACTCACAGCAACATATGAACATCCATAATACTGAGTCATCAACAACGCTTCACGGAAATTTTTTTAATGTAACTTTTTCACCAACTTTTGCATGAGCTGAATTACCTTCATATTAAAGCAGTGAATGTTATGGTGTTGATAGATTTTCTGCTGCTCAATATTCATACGTCACAAGAGAACTACACATCGCGGTGTTTCACGGATTCACCAGGGAAATAAATGTTGCTAATAACTTGTACAGCGTTGAGATGAAACAGTGGACGATGAAACCTGGTATAGAGACGCCATACAGACCTCCAGCTATAAAATACTACTCACAGTACATCTACACTACTCCAGTTGAGTTCATAACCAATAGTGTTTGTTGTGAGGTCTTGGGTTGATGGTGGGCAGCCTGAGATATGTGAAGGACGGGTGGATGAACACAAGGTAACCGAGAGCACAGCGTCACGCGATACATGTGTGTGTGTGTGTGTGTGTGTGTGTGTGTGTGTGTGTTTACTTGTAATGCAAAACCAAATAGTCGACTTGTATTTTTCCTGTTTCTTTCATATTATTCTATTTCTTAATTTTTCTTCCTCCACTCTGAATCTGTTTGCGCACTCTTCTTCTCCTCCTCCTCCTCACTAATCCTCTTTCGTCCTCGCCCTCATCCTCCTCCTCTCGTCTCTCCCCTTTACGTCCTCCCTGCCTGGCCCTTCACCAAGCGAGGGTCACTCAGCCTAGTTTGGCATGGTGGTCTTAAGAGTGCCACTTGACTCTGTCTCATGAGCCTCGCCTCACTCACTCACTCACGGTATTACTCTCTCTCTCTATTTTTCCTTATAGGAGGGAAGAAAGGGATAGAAGGAGAGGGTGAAAGGGAGGGAAGGAGAATGCAAAGGGAGGAAAAGAGAGAGAAAGAAAGGGTGAAGGGAAGTAAGAAAGGGAGGAAGGCTGAAGGAGGGTCACCTAGTCCCTCTTCACCTCCACCTTATGCTTCATGTGTCGACTGAAAATGCTATTGTAGAAAACACAGCAGACCACAGCAGAGGAGACCAGAACACAGCAGACCACAGCAGAGCAGACCAGAACACAGCAGACCACAGCAGAGGAGACCAGAACACAGCAGACCACAGCAGAGCAGACTAGAAAACAGCAGACCACAGCAGAGGAAACCAGAAAGCAGCAGACCACAGCAGAGGAAACCAGAAAGCAGCAGACCACAGCAGAGAGGAAACCAGAAACAACAGACCACAGCAGAGGAGACCAGAACACAGCAGACCACATCAGAGCAGACTAGAAAACAGCAGACCACAGCAGAGGAGACCAAAAAGCAGAAGATCACAGCAGAGGAGACTAGAAAACAGCAGAAAAGATCGGAACACAAAGGTGGTTCAGAGTTATAAGTGACTTAACTTCAATACGAGTGAGTGGTAGAGAGGGACAGCTGGGGGTCAGTGGCCATTTATCTGATCAAACTCTGACCTCCTTCCCTCGTGTCTTGACCTCCTTCGCTCGTGTCTTGACATCCTTCGCTCGTGTCTTGACATCCTTCGCTCGTGTCTTGACATCCTTCGCTCGTGTCTTGACCTCCTTCCCTCGTGTCTTGACCTCCTTCGCTCGTGTCGTGACACACCTCCCTTCCCTCGTGTCGCATCTCCTTCTGCCTCGTGTCTTGACCTCCTTCCCCCCGTGTCTTGAGACCCTCCTTCCCTCGTGTCTTGACCTCTCACTGTGTCTTGACTCTCTCCGCTGTAGCTTCTGACCTCCTTCGCTCGTGTCTTGGACCTCCTTCGCTCGTGTTCCTGACCTCCTTCGCTCGTGTCTTGACCTCTGCTCGTGTCTTGACTCTCCTTCGCTGCTCGTGTCTTGACTTCCTCTCGGCTCAAGCCGTGACCTCCTTCGCTCGTGTCTTGACATCCTTCGCTCGTGTCTTGACATCCTTCGCTCGTGTTTGTCATTTTCTTTGTTGTTGTTTTTCTGTGAGTTCACGAATAAAAAAAAATAAAAAATAAAATAATAATTATCTGTAGCTCGTCTAGTGCTCTGGCAGCCAGGAGGTAGTTTTATCGGTGAGGGAGTGAGTGAGTGAGTGAAAGAGTGATTGAGGTAGGGTGAGTGAGTGAGTGAGGGAAAGAGTGATTGAGGTAGGGTGAGTGAGTGTCTCAAGGGTTGGTGGTTGGCCTCAGAAGTACCCACAAATCCTCCCAACTGTGAATAGTTACCAGAATTTAGATAGAGAATTGAGATGAGAGGAGTAGCGTGTTGTACCCTCCTCCTTGTGTACCAAAGACTTGTAAGTATTGAGTGTGTTGGAGGAGACCCACTTCCAGGGTTATTGAGAGTCAAGCACCAAAGATCCCTCAGAAGCAGGAAACATTAATGGAACACAGACACAGTAAGCGGATGAACGAGGAATAATTTGTATGTTTCATTGGTTGTAAAAGCTGCTTTGTGGTAGTTACTGAACGTTGACCTTAAATGTAACTCCTACTGTGGTTTGACTTACTGCTCCGTCGAGACCTGAAGATTCTGTGAGGAAATATGAACTTGTTTTTGTGTTAAATGATAGAGATGTATGCAGATTATGGGGTCAAAGGTCATGTAGGATGTTTCTTTCATGGGGTCAAAGGTCAAGCAAGATATGTTTTCCTTCGTTAGGTCAAAGGTCATGCAGGATATGTTTCTATTTCATGGGGTCAAAGGTCATACAGGATATGTTTCTCTTTCATGGTCATACAAGATATGTTTCTCTTTCATGGGGTCAAAGGTCAAGCAGGATATATTTCCCTTCGTGGGGTCAAAGTTCATGCAGGATATGTTTCTCTTTCATGTGGTCAAAGGTCAAGCAAGATATTTCTCCCTTCGTGGGGTCAAAGGTCACATAGGATAAAATAATATTGCCTCAACTCTTCCATCTATTGCTACATCATGTGGACGAACAGTTAACTTTTCTTCTTTAATTTAATCATTCAACTTTGTCTTCTCTTCCACAACCATTACTCCCAAATCTATTCTCTATCACTTAATTCTTTCCTCTCTCCCACCCCCTTTCTTCAGAACTATTCCATTGCAAAATCTTTTGACTTCACAAACCCCACACACTAAAACCCATCTCCTCCTCTCTGACTCGTTCCCCTCCAACCCCGTCTCTTAAAGTCCATTATATCTTCTCTTGTCAAAGGAACTTCCACAGCTGAAGAGGTAGACAAACACTTCTCAGATTCTTTAATATTTTGTATCCTCTCTCTCTCTCTCTCAATTCTCCTCCTATAAGCTCTTCTTCCATTACATTTCAAGAATATGAAACTTACAAACAACGAAAAATCATGGCGTTTATTTTCATTATACCGCATTTGGGTCAGATAAATAGTGAAAAAATTATAATGTATTTTTTCTTCACCGTGTGTGTGTGTGTGTGTGTGTGTGTGTGTGTGTGTGTGTGTGTGTCCTTCATCCACCATCATTGGCTTCACCTTTACCATTCTAATAAGCTTCCATTTCTCACCCACCTCACCTGTCATCACCCTTGACCTCCTCTCCACCCACCGTTCATTACACCTGTATCCATACCTTAATCTCTTGTTCCCACGCGCCAACACCTGAGCTCTCGAGTGACGCTCTTATATTATCCAGTTTTCTTCCTCCCCGCCTCCTTCTTTATCTTCATTTACCTGTGACCGTTTTCCTTCTCTCTCCATCATTCGTGTAAATCTTTTCTATACGTTCACTGTCGTCACCTCGCTAGTGTTTGCTATACCGCTTATATAATTTTCTTCTTGCTGCTGCTGCTAACCTCCCCTTATAGCCATATCTTCTCCACTACACATTGTTTACCTCCTTGAAGAAAGTAAACAATATCAAGTTAAGACAAATGAGACGCTCTGGGGAACTTAATATGTGTTTATTTAACCATTAAACTTACTGAAAAATGACTAAACTTCAACTGCATTTGCTCCCCTCTACCGCCTCCCCTCACCCACCCCCTAGTTTTTATGTTTACCCTTTATCGCCTGTCTCCTCTTCCGGATCGTTTACTTTTCATTCTGTATTCCACATCCGTTCAGTTTATCTTCCATCCATTCTCTAGACACTGACCATTATGCTTCGGTAAAGTCTTTAAGTTATGTTTAATGGCAATAACCTGCCCTAAGGTGTAGTAGCATCTGGGGCCATACAGCCAGGTTCTGCAGCAGCTACGTCAGGCGGAAAGAACTCCTAGACACAATATAAAGGCATCTAGAACAGTGGAGGAGAGAGAGAGAGAGAGAGAGAGAGAGAGAGAGAGAGAGAGAGACTTAAAAAAACGATGAATGAGGTGAAAGGTGAGGAAGAGAAAGAAAATTAGAGAGAAAAGATGAGAAAAAAGAAAGAGAGGAGAGAAATTTGATAAAGATGATGTAGTGTGTGAAGAAAGAGAGAGAGAGAAGGGGGAGGGGACATAAATCTAAGCCAGGTATAACTGAAAAGAGAATAGACAGATGGAGGAAGTAGAAAGAAGAAATGATAAAGGAAGAGGAAAAAATGAGCAAGTGGGAGAGAAGACGTGAGTTACTGTGAGGAACTAATGGGATATCTGGATGACTTACAGTTGAAGAAGTTATGAGACACTATCTTTAAAAAGTCTTGAGAAGGAAGTGAGGGAAAATGAGAAAGATTATAAGTGAGAGATTCGTGAGATATCATGAGTAAGAGATTCGTGAGATACTGTGAGTGAGGAGGTAAGGGAATGAGTTGAGTCAAAGAGTGATTGATGGTGTGTGTGTGTGTGTGTGTGTGTGTGTGTGTGTATGTGTGTGTGTGTATGTGTGTGTGTGTGTGAATGGTACTGGGTGGTGATGATGGTTGGATGATGACGATAGTGAGATGGTGAGATCATGATAATGTTTTGAAGGTGATCTCTGCACTATTTCATGTTTTTTTTCTATTTTTCTGAATAATTTTCCTAAAAAATAAGTTTATCCCGAAAAATATTAATTGTTTTTGTACGATTTTATTTCAGTATTATTTTTCATAACCTGACACTGTTGAGATAAATTATAATGCTTTCAGCTTTAATGGCTGTAAGAGTCTTATTGCTGTGCTGTACTGTGTTATATTATACCGAAATATACGTATAGTTAGACTTATTTGTGAATAATATGTACATATACTGTAGAAAGAGAGTGAGACATACATACATACATACATACATACATACATACATACATACATACATACATACAGAGAGAGAGAGAATTTATAGTAACAATCTTGCGGAAGGTTTTTCAGATAGGATAGTTTTATCCAAATTGCCCTTTAAAGCTGTTATCATGTGATTAGGCTAAAAGCTTGTCAGTCATCCCCGTGTAAACAACTGTTTAACTAAAGAGAGGGAGAGAGAGAGAGATTTCCTGTATAATCAAGTTAAGAGCCACGCCCAATCCTACAAAAATTCTCTTACATCTCTTCCCGTTATTCCCTCCCCATAGTCACGTCTTGTGCCTCATCTCCTCCTCGTGTTATTAAGTGTTGGATAAGGGGGGCGTAGGAGAGAGGGGAGGGAGAAGAGAAATGTCAAATATCGCTAAATAAATACCTTCGTCTCTTACATAACAAAATTAATATCCTGGCGGCCATAAGCAATACGTCTCTTTTGTTGCTTATTTACTGAGGATGGGGGAGAGTGTGTGTGGAGTGTGGGGGTGTGTGGGGTGGGGGAGTGTGTGTAGAGAATTGAAGTGTATGGGGGTGGGGGTGTGGGGGTGAGCATGTGCAGGGGGGTGGGGGGTGTGTATGGGGTGGGGTGTGGGGAATGAGCATGTGGGGTGTGTGGGGTGGGGGGGGTGTATGGGGTGGGGGTATGGGGGGTGGAGCATGTGGGGTGTGTGTGGGGGTGGGGGTGTGGGGGTGTGTGGGGTGGGGGGGGTGTGTGTGGGGTGGGGTGTGTGGGGTGCTGATCGTCGTTTATTTCACTAAACAATAATACAAAATGTGGAATAATCTTGATATAATAATTATGACATTACTCTTAATCCCTTAGTGTGTACAGTTGACAACACACACACACACACACACACACACACACACACACACACACACACACAGGTAAATATATACTTTCAACCATATACAAATCTACACACTGACATGCAACTTTCATCTCAACATCAACACCGATCATTCAGAAAACCTTAAAACTTTGGTGAGCAGAAACTTACGATATATTTTATCTACTGTTGAATAATAACTGAGAGAGAAGAGAAGAGGAAGGTCAGAGGTCAAGAGGATATATCAAGGTCTAGTGAATTATTATCTCACCTGACTGTGTGAAAGTTGACCTGAGACACTACCTTAATTAATCTCTACTGTAGGGTTTTTATCTTTATCTCTATCTCTCTCTTATCTATCTTTCGTTTTTGTCTTT